TTTCGTCTTCCGGTCGAATAATGTTCTTTAGCACGGTTAAAGGGGCATGATTGAATTTTAAATGAAATCAAACTCTAATCTACTTAGTTTTTATTGACTCTGTTCTTGTCTGTCCATCCATGCAACCTCAGCGTTCTCCTTAAGACTGGGCCATAACCCGAGCACGACTCGCAGTTAAGTACGGTAAACTAAGGAAGATATACTGATGAAGTACGTTAGGGGCAAAATGCCATTCTTGGATATACATGTGTACAGAAGAAACGGAACACTAAATGCCATTGTATATAAGAACCCATCCCACGCCGGATACTACATCAGCGTCCATCCTTTCGCCCATACATCCATTAAAGCGGGACTGATTCAAAAATTATACCTCCGAAACATAAAACTGTGACTTGACACCTTTTCACTGTGTCGAGAGAATAGCGGCCTTATCGTTAAACTGGAGAAATACAGGTATCCGAAGATATTCATCCACTGACAATTCAACAAGGTAGACTGAAAGCTGAACAAGATCCGAAACTCAGAAAGAAAACAGCAACCAGCAGGGAAGACTTCCAAAGTCGTGCCTTCCTAGTCATCTCGTATCAAGAGAACATAATTGAAGGAATCAAACGATTCATGACCAAATGGGTGTGACCACGGTCTGCACATCCCTAAACAGGCGTCGTAATCTCCTGTATAACACAAGTATCACACCAGAACAAGAGAGCGTCGGGGTAACATACCGGAAAAACTGCCCGTGAGGATAAAGATGCAGTGTAGTGACTGTAGAAGACTGAGGAACCGAGTCAGCAAACAGCTTTACGTAATAGAGCAGATGAGAAATGGTCAGCAGTGGCTAATACAGCTTACTAAAGAAACACTAAGGTGGGATGCAGGCAGCATCGTCCGCATGAGGTCTGTTGATGGGGAAGAAAGATTTCGGAAGAATGATGGTGGAGCGGACAAAGAGCAAAATGAACTAGTAGGAAGAAACTTAAAAACTCATCCCAGCAAGATTCTCGTCTGACGTCACAAACTCACCATGGTGAGTAAAATCCCAAATCGTTCAAGAATGTCTCAGTAAAAAGCCGTGAACTTTACACGAAAACAGAGTTCGTCATCCATAAAATGGGAGGGTGGCTGCTCTAGGTTTGAACATTCCCGCAGGTGGCTTACCACCTTAAGATTCACTTTTTTGCGGATCTTGCTTCGCATGTAACAGTGGTTTCGCACTCCCCGAATCTGAACTAAATTATTTAAACGATAGAATGAAAAGATGTATTTAGTTAAACTAATATTTGTACAACTTTAATCCAAAAGAACTGCCTGGATCCGCTTGCAACGTCTTTTTAAGAAACCTACTACTTTGAAACGCTGTTCACCATCCTTTGCTAACGACTGGCGTTGTAGGGTGCACGAATACGCTGGCTGATTAACGTGTAAACATAACATCTTACAGCGGATAAGCCTATCCGCGCTGTCTGGTACTTTCATCGGACAAAGCTGCATATACTTTTCGTTTCCGGTTGTCGAAACCGGCAGAGCTACTCATATGTAGTTCTCATGTCTGACGCTTAGCTCAGAGTCTTGAAGATAACAAATGGACTTACTGTAAGATGTTCAAGCTGCATTCTAGTAAGTGAGTTTGGTTTGGCTAATCCACTCTTATCCGCATTACCGACTAGGAATTGATAGATGATACGTAATACTGGACCAGACGGGATACTGCTCCACCGATTTTCGGTACAGATAGCAACTGAATTTCTGGTAACGATTCTCGGAATACGTCCAAATATGTGCGCATTATCGACTAATCTTAATCTCATCTGCATTAGGAGCTACGGCCATAACGATTAGCGAGTTGGCATAAATGATGTTTATTGTTAGAGGAAGCATGAGACACTGCACCATTTTCCGTACCCCACATGCGAGTTTAGGTGTGTCCTACAACTCGTGCCCAACCAGATCAGTTAGCATAGCAATGCATCGACGAAAAGTCTGAAAGAACAAATACCAAGTAAGCAAGCAATACTTTTTCTTCGCTGAGTTTCATTCCTCACTTTTGCAACATCATTTGGAGTCCTTCAAAGTTAGGTGAATAACTTGCAGAAATTCAGAGTCCATAGGGAATTTTTCAGACTGACAAATTTAACCAGCAAAGTGGTTACGGAAGCATCATTAAAATTTAGTTCGTTGTTTGAACAACGATTACCGTGTCAAGATTCCTGTTTTTATTTTCATAATTATTATTTATGGATTTTTGCAATATCGTAAACAGAATTAATGAGCTATTAGTTTCAATAAAACATGATTTATTCGGTTGCAGGTTATTAATGCAAAAATGCGACCTGAAATGTCACAGAATGCAAGTCCACTGAAGCGACGACTGGTGACAGTTCTAAATCTCCGTCGAAAGATATGAGATTCTCATCATTATACTCATGAGTAGAATTTTAAAACAACTTGGCGCCAAACCCTCGCTTTTCATGGACGTGCAGCAGCGGAAGCAATGATATTTAGCCACGTTATGAGAAGGTACACCAAATATCTGGGGGAGGGGAGTAGTACTGCAAGGATAACGCCTTGTTTCTAGACTGACTCGACACCACAGTATTCTTTACGCAGGGCGATAAGCAGTGACCAGCGACGACAAGAACTGCATGTGATTTCAGTGACATCCGTTCGGTAAGTGACGGAGCCGATTATGTCAGCGATGAATATGTCACCACTGACAATCGCCGTCGCTGA